ATTATAGCTAAACGATTGCAGTCAAACTGCTTGATTTTGTGCTGATTTGCACCAAGGCTAAATAGAAAATAATACAATAATTCGCACTCGTGTGCTAGAAAACTAATATATTATTACCATTGGAAAAGAAAGCTTTTACTTAGTCTTACGCCTATATAGACACGTACCACTCTGAGACCGGTCAATAACAACTGAGCCACCTCTAAGAGCTCTGTAGAAATTTAATGGAATTTTAGGCAATTGAAAATTGGATAAGTTAACTTTAACGCCAGCTTGAACAATGGGTAGAAGGTCATCAAGATTTTCAAGCAATATACTTGCACTATTTATAATTTTAAGCGTTTCCAAATTTGCCACAGGCAGTCTCTCGACGAGAGTTATCATACTCTTCGACCAACTCATTGTCAAGCGTTTTAAGAACATCAAATTAAGAAAATTAAACTTTTCCGAAATAACTAAGTTGGAAATAGTCAAATCAATTAAGTTAGGCAGACTATTTAATAAGTCTTGTAGCCTTGGATCTAAAAATGATGCGTTCGTTAGATCAAGAAAAGTGATTTTATCGGCCAATTTAAAAGTCCAATTTTCAATGTCCGATTCCGGCTCAGGGTAATGACGTGGTTTAGAAAACGTAATTGAAATTGCGTAGAGCGAATTTTTACCTGAAAATAATGCTTCGATCCACCGACCGAGCTTTGTACAAAAATCAACCGCGATACAGTCGTGTAATAACAACACCTCAATAGTTTTATTATTTCTAATCGCAACAGCAAAGTTCGCGAAAGTCAATTGCGTGCATTTTACCATTTTCACGCATTTCGCACTTGTCGATGACAGAAAACTGCCGCGTACTTGACTGTTTTTATCTATCTGAAGTCGGTGTGCCTGCACAGAGGCGAGGGTCTTGTCGAAGCTTGAGATAAATTCTCCGAGAAAACATGTCTCGAGAGTGAAGTTATCCGCTAAAAATTGCAATACATTTCTACTTAAAACTATAGCTTGCAAATCAATTATTTTCATTTTATATTTCGCGTCCGCGTCCCCCTGGCTGCATCCATAACGCATCGCTCGCAACGCCTGACTTACTATATTTACATCTGCTGAAATATTATTATCGTTGAATTTTAAAACTTGTGGCTTAAATTTAGAAAAGTGCTCTTTGAAGAAATTATTAATTTTAGTGTACGTGAACAACGGCCAATTATTGTCGTAGAATTTACTAAATAAAAGAGTTAATACGGTCGGATTAAATGAGAACGAGTTTGTGATGTTCAATGATGAGTCAGAGTCTAGATATGAAAATAAGCGAGGTAAAAATCGGGTTGCTTCCATGAAGGGATGCAGGGCGCGTTTTTTCGACGAGGTCTGCTGCAAACTCAAAACGGATCTACTGCCTGCATACAGACTATTGTCGGGTCTTATTTTAGCTTTACATGTTTTAAATGCTTAAACCGCGTCAACAACTGGAGGCCGTGAAGACCCGAAATTCTCCTGCAACAAATGCAGATGCGAGTCGTCGGGCACGAGAGGGGCCGACTGATTATCGCGTGAGCTTGGATTGCCTCCCATCTTATCGGCAAAAATAACCTTCGCAAAGAGTCGCAAAAAAAAAAAAAAAAGTAGATCGCTAACGATTCGCAAAAGGGGTATCAAAAGAAAAACCTTGGTGAAATTGAAATCCAAATAACAGGTAAAAGGTGAAAAATTAATGATAATGAGGGATGAATAGTGAAAAGATGACGTAATGAAATGAAACGGTCTGGGTAAAAAGCGATCGAGACCGCAGTCGCACAAGTGCGACAATGAAAAATGAAACACGAAAATTAGTTACAAAAATATTAAGCCACAAATTCAATTTAAGACTTGCTGAAAAATAAAAGCTCAATGCATTCATTCAGGCTATAATCGCCTCTCACACAACCCAAGAGCAGCTCAACTCTGCAAAAATATAAATGGCAGAAGACCCCCGACGAATATTACCAATGAGGCGTCATAAGTCCAAAAGAAAACTAAAAAAAGGTCAAAACGCATCCTTAAATGTTCAATCGATAATTGCAAAATAAGCAATTTAATAAAAAGAAAACGTGTGCTAAGACTGCACTCTGAAATGAAAATAATTCAATCAAACATAACATAATTTAACAGTTTACGCATCTGTCGACTACGAAAAGAAATTCGAGCCGAGAGATAACGATTGTCAGCGTAACGGGACGATGTCTCTACGTTACGTAAGCGCCCGATGGGCTATTGTAATTGTATATGTCGCCCAATGGGCTAATAATTGTATGTATGATTAACTCAATTGGGTGCTCATCACTGATCAGCAGACCAGTAGATAAAGCCCAATATGAGAAATCAATTCGTGTCAGCAATAGTTTTGCGAAAACACAAAAACAAAAAATTATAATCGAATAATGATTATGAGTGTGCAATGCACAGGGTACCCAAAGAAAAAATAATCTGCAGTGTAGCAGAGAAAAGTAGTCTGCAGCCACGTAGTAGAGAAAAGTAACGCTATGCGTAAAATAAAATATGTAATATATTCGTAAATACGAGTAAGTATGACACGAAATATGCCTGCCTAGTACAGCAGAAAATACGTTAAAGTCATGTGCCACAAAATTCTGTCAACAAAAATCTCGGCGACAAAATTCCAACCGAACACATAAACTGAAACGTAGAAATATTACAGCTCGAAAATAATACACAAGGAGCAACGAGACAAGCTCGCGTCGACTCGAGCAAAACCGACTTGAGAAATACAAGCCGATCAACGAACGAATAACATTCGCGGCGCGTGACCAAAACAATAATTTTAACTTGAAAACGAAAATATTTAAATCACTGCCGAAATTCATCCGGTGTCGTTGCCTTGAGCAAAATTTCAATAAACAAAAATGAGAGATTACTCTAACGATTACTCTATGTAAACAATGTATAACACTCTTGAAGGGCAAAAATTTCAAAGGGAATGTCCGAAAAGAAAATCTAAGTTAACAGTTATCGCGACAAAATCCGCATACTTTCTTACACATTCTAATAATTCTCAGCAAGTCTACCTACTTAGTAAATTAATTCAAAGATAAAGGTAAAAGAACACGTGCGTACATAAATTAGTAGCGACACATGCTTTTGTAAATCTTTGACCGATTGCTAATAAGCGCTTATTAATCACGACCGCCCCATTAATTAATCCACGTATCAAACTCAAGCTTGAACTCGAAAAGCATGCCCTCGCCCAACCACTAGTACATCAACTTAACTAAATTCAAAGAGAATTCAGCTATATCAAGATAGTAGCTAGCAGGAGAATGCGGACAGCACAAAAAAACTACGCACAAATGCGACATTAATTGCCTGAGTTTGCAAGTTTTGTATATTTATAGTAGCTTAATTAAAACATAATACGCGTGGATGCAGCCGAGGTAATTAAAAAGAACGCTTACGGAGTCGCTAAATTCTTCCAATCCGTTGCACCGCGTTGAGCCTTGCCGCCGAACGCCGAAAATCCGATGACTATGCGCAGCGATGATGAGAGAATGCCGCAGCGATGATGAAGAATGCCGCAGCAAAAGTCGCACAAGCCGGCACCGACGAAGAGGATGTCGAAAACGATGAAAATCAACTCCACGAGGCCGACGATGCTCCAAAAATCACCCCGCGCCGAGAGCCATTGCCGCCGTGATGGTGCAAAAACGCCGCAGCCAGAGTTGATCAGGCCCACGCCGTCGAATAGCACGTCGAAAACGATGAATATTCACTTTGCGAAAGCCGACGATGCTCCAAAAAAACGCTCCGCTCCGAGAGACGTTACCGTTGAAAAAGTCGACCAAAGTCGAACGAGCTGTGCTGCCGGCTGCTTCAAGTGCGTCGAGCCAATGGCATTGATTCGACGAAACAACACCTCAAAAACGCCAGAGTCGAAGTCGTTGAAGTTCGAAAAATTTCGACTCAAAAAGTCAAACGAGCTGCGTCGGTGCTTCTCTATCCTCGATGTCGTGTAATGGCTGAACCGTTCGAAAATTCGAACCTGAGCGAGCTCGCTGATAGCGGCTCGCTGAAAACGACGGCACACTTTCCGGCGACGATGTAGACTTTCGCAGGACGTATACGCTCGCAGCCGACGGGTACTCAAAATGGCGGCAACTGTAGAAATTGGAGCTTTTTCTTTTTTCGTTCGAGTTCCGCCCAATCAAACCAATAAAATTTTCCTCTCTCTTACCCTAGCTGCTCCGATGATGGTGTCGAAGCTGGTCGGAAGATCACCAGTGTGGATTTATATGTGTTTGGTAGGGCCCAGGGTAGGGCAAGATGTTGGTTGTTGCTTCTGCTGTTGCTGCTGCTGCTGCTATGCTCCGCTGCTGACTAGCCTTGGCAGATAGGTGGCCAAAGTTCCACACTTCTTTGGCCGATAATTTAATCGCGTGTACAAACGCAGGGATGGGAAGAGATGAGGAAGATTAATTGAAACTAAACTGGCTAAATATATAAGTCCAGTTTATTGGTTCGATGTGTCTCGCGCTGCTCGACTCTACAGCTTGATGATCAGACACGCACTACTGTGCTCGGCGCTCCGAGCCAGTCGCGACACCAGCGGCGTTGCGCACAAAAGTAGGGGGGGGGGGGATTGGCCGACGCCATACCAACGACCGCTTCTGACTTTTTTTAGTGTCGATTTTTTTATCTTTGACACATTGAAAACAGATTGAAAATTAGTTTTTTCAAAATTTAATCAATATTTCAACGCCATTTAAATATTCTTGTTGGAAAGAAGAATTTTTGAACTTAAAAAATATTTATGTCTCATTTTTACTGAATTCCTTGTGCATCAGTTGAACAACCTTGAACAGAGGTATGTTGCTCGGGTTATTTTGGGTTACTTGGGTTACGAGATATGAAAAATTAAAGAATATTCGAAAATGTATTAAAAGTCATGAATGAATAACTATTTTTTGCAAGTACATTATAGTTACTCTACAATATCTATCAATTTTTTTCAGCTGAAGTAAAACGTGTTGGTGATACATTATTAGGGATGGCTACCCAATGTGTGCAGGCTAAAAACGTCAATAAAACCTCACCACAGACTTTGTCCAATTTATGTTTGAAAATCAATGTGAAACTTGGTGGTATCAATAGCATTTTAGTACCAAGTATAAGACCAAAGGTTTTCAATGAACCCGTAATCTTCCTTGGAGCAGACGTTACACATCCACCAGCAGGAGATAACAAAAAACCCAGCATTGCTGCGGTCGTAGGAAGCATGGATGCTCATCCGTCTCGTTATGCTGCTACCGTTCGAGTACAACAACATCGACAAGAAATAATTCAAGAACTTAGCTCCATGGTCAGGTAAGACGACATTTATTTTTTAACTCTCAATCCTCGTAAATGCTACTTACATTTGTAACGAATATATTATTCGTTAATCTCTCTCCCGCCTATTTGGCAGTGGCCTAAACTAATTTTATTTATTATTTATTAATTAATATTTATTTATTTTTCATACGCCAATTTTCGCTTGCCACGCAACTGTTACGTGGCGAGTAAACACTGGCTGAGGAGAGGGAAAAAGAGAGTAGCTTTTGAAGTTTGTGGCCTAATGAAGAAGACCTATGAGCTGAAGCTGATTCGGCTATGAACACGTAAATCATAACTTCCAGTAAAAGTCAACTGCCTTGCCTTTCATTAAATATCGTAACATTCAACACGGTGAAAGTGATTACAGCCACTTTAACTCATTTGCAAGTTTGTGTTCATTTATTGTCATTCGAACCCAGTGTGTCCTGGTTGAAGTATGTAGGCCAGTAGCCAAGCCAGGATCGACTAGTCCTTGATAAGTGCGCGATTGTTTAATATCTTTTGTAATATCTTATATGTATTAAAAAACATAATGAATAAAAGATCAGGTGTCAGATCTGATGTACAATTTTCACCTGGGAGAGCCTGCAGGTTCATGTGACGTAATTAAGCAGGTGGTGGAGTGTTATAATAACGAAAAATAACCTAGCTCCAGTAACTTTTCTCAAAAATAAAATAAAAGGATTAAATGTGGTGGACAGCATAGCTCTTCACTGGATCATCTAAAATAGAAAAAAGGGGGTTTGGTTAATTAATGAGTTTCTCAAATCACTATAAGGGGAGGCTCTCATCTAGCGCCTCAAAAATGACGTGTTTTTCGTAATTTTTTTTTTTCACGGAAGGAAGTGAATAATTCAGTCAAGTTTTTTGGTACTTATGAAGTATGTATTCAAATATATTTACAAATTTTTTCAAACCAAAATATCGAATTATGTATCCCCTAGCTGCGTTTGAAAAAGGTCGTGTTAAAAAAAAATACCTCAACGGGCGCCAAGCTAGCGCCTTGAGTTTTTGTCCGAATCTAAAAATATGAAGTTCCTCTTAAACTAGATGACATTTGCTGGAGCTTGAACCTAAATTATTGCAAAAAAATTAAAAATTAATAAAATGGTGAACTTCGGAAATTTGTTTTTACCCTTTTTTGGCACTTTTAAGGGCTCTAAAAAATAATAATGATGAAAAATTTTAAATTTTATAGGTTCAAGCTCCAGACAATTTAATTTGCTTTAAAATAAAAAAAGCGTATCTCTAAGTGCAGTACTTTTTGAGACATCTTGGCGCCCGATTCAGAAAACAGGGTTTCGAGAAAAACGCGTTCAAAGTTTTAGAAATTGCATATACATACACACATACATCGTTCGCTCGTAAAAATACAGCTCCGGTTTTTTGCCTATAACTTTTTTATCAAATCGATTTTGGTAAAAAAAATTTCGGGGGTGTATTCTACGGGTCATTTGCTAACTTAGTAAGCAACAACAAAAAAATCAATTTTTTGATCGAGTCTTATGAGAGCCTCCCCTTAACTATACTCAAGAAATACGCATTCAAAATTTTAAATATTTTGTTCATTATCATACTGACAGAGAATCATCAATTTCAGGGCCGTAGAAGCAACTGTTTTTTTTTTTAAATATACCCTCTGAATGTTTTCAGTTTTTTCTGCGAACCATTCGGTCTTCTCAAGTGATATCTGCAGTTATTTGTCTACTTTTGTGATTCGAAGCCTATCTTGTATATGGGCCCATTCCTTAGAACTTGGTCCTGCGCCAATTAGCATTTCTTTCAAAATAAATAATAAAACAAAAGAATATTAGTTAAAAATAAATGCTGCTACATAGGCTGCAAATTTCACAATATTTGTCATTCACTCAATAATTTATTAATTTTCTAAATAATATGGTTTACGGGAAGGTGGGGGTTGTGGTACTGATTTATAGATTTTTTTCCATTTTTTGAAGTATTTTTTGACTCGTAAAAAAAAAATTTATTTCTAAAATATATATGTGAAAGTACATGACTTTGAGAGTATTTTGTGAAAATTTCATCTAAAAATTTTCATTTTTGCGCCTTTGAAAGCAAATCTATAGAAAAGTCGTGAAAATTCTGGTGAGACACATAAATTTTCACAAAATCATCTGATTCGAAAAATTCAAAATCACATCATTAGTTTATGAGTTTTAAGGGGACTATAAGGTTTAAGGGGACTGACCTGTGTTAAAAGCTTAAATTCAGCTTCAGCTAAAAATAGCTATATAAATCGAAATAGTGGAAATTTTTTTGTGATAGTAAAATATGTTCATTCTTAACCAAGTTGACCAAAAAAACTTCTACCCAAGCTCTGAAATACCAATTACTTTTTTCATAAGACGAAATATTGTGTTATAAATCACTTGCCGCATGATCTTGAAAAGACGAAATATTGTGTTATAAATCACTTGCCGCATGATCTTGAAAAGAGTTTTTCATCAATATTGATCAATGGGATCTCAAAATCTTCAGAAAAGTACCCTCATCCACCTAAGCGGAGCAAAATTTTGAAAAATTGCGTACAACTTTATATACACGTCAAAATGTGCCAATTTTCAAGAAAATTAGTATTTTATCAACACTAGAAGCCATATTTAAGCTCTTGGAAGAGGAACAAACTATTTTTTTCAAATTCTGCTCCACGTGGCAAGTGAATCCTATTATAATATTTAGTATTATGAAAAAATAGGCGTAATTGGCATTTCAGATCTTGGGTAGAAGTTTTTTATGGTCAATCAGGTGTCTAATGAACATATTTTACTACCACAAAAAAAAATTTCCACTATTTCGATTTATGTAGCTATTTTTTTAATTTAAGCTTTTAACACAGTTCGGTACCCTTAATAAAGAACTGTGCAAAATTTCAAAAGGATCGGTTAAATACTTTTTGAGTGGCGTTTCTCATCGAATTGAAAAATTTTATTTTAAGAAATTGCAGTTCTAAGATACAATAATATATATATTAGATACATAATAGTCATCGAACTAATAGTTCAATATTTTCGTCAATTTTGCTCCGATTGAGCTGAAATTTTCACAGAATACTCTTGAAACTATAAACACATCAACAAGGCCAGGACCATACCCCCCCCCCCCCTTAACTTTCATTTATGCCATAAAGTGCTACTTATATCACTATATCATAAATAACTGTTAGGTTTCCTAGGATTCAAGTTTTTTGTAAAATACCACGAGTCTTCGCGACTTGAACAATATTTGTGTCATTAATTGTCATCAGCCGAGCTATAGTGACGATAATTTGGCCAAATAAATTTTCTTATTTTATGTACAGTTATTTTAAAGAACGACCGGGAAATAATATATCATTTTCTTAGTGAATTTACCTTTTGCAGATGAAATTTTCCTTCCAATTTTATCCCGCTTTCGTAAAAGGCTGTATCTATTACAAATTTTTTACTTATTCGTGCAAATGAGCCCCCATTTGTTTTCGTTTATGTGGCACACATTGAAAAAGTTATCACCATATGGTTTAGAATTTATTAATGCAGTTTACGTTTTAAAATCATTGTTTCTGTAGTAATGTCTTACCTTACTTTATTTTCAGTTGAACTTTAAAACGTCGAACTGTTCGGTAGAACTGGCACAGAGACATCATATTTATTCTCTCATATATAGTTCTGATTGATAAGCATTAATGAATATATATTGTTTTCAGAGAGTTGTTGATCATGTTTTATAAAAGTACTGGAGGATACAAACCGCATAGAATAATACTTTATCGAGATGCAGTTTCTGAAGGTCAATTTCTTCATGTGCTTCAACACGAATTAACAGCAATACGAGAAGCATGCATTAAACTTGAAGCTGACTATCGTCCTGGTATAACTTTCATTGTTGTTCAAAAAAGACATCATACTCGTCTTTTTTGCGCCGATAAAAAAGAACAAAGTGGAAAAAGCGGAAATATACCTGCTGGAACTACAGTGGATGTGTGTATTACTCATCCTACTGAATTTGATTTTTATCTATGCAGTCACCAAGGAATTCAGGTACTACAATAATACATATATTTTATTTAAAAGAATAATAATTTACATAACCACAATTGATTATTAGTCATCCATAAATCCTTCTATCCTTGAGGTCGTATGGGGTTTACCCCCCTCTCCCCCATCACAGTAATGAAACAATAAAATAAAGAAATAAATAATGTTTAATCGAATCAAAAAACCCAATTAAAGTTATATTGTTTATTTGTGAAATAACATATAATATTTAAAGGATTTGGCGTCACAGTGGAATTCAGCAAACTAGTTGAAACTTTTTTTATGGCAAAACATGTTCGTAGTACAACTGATTGCGGCTAGGAAAAACTCTTACTTTCAAGCTCAAATATCTCAATTATATTACTTTTTTAATAACGCTTGTAATGGAATATACCTCGAGTCAAGTATGTCCACTCAGGACGACGTCCACCAGAACCTCAAGACAGGAAAAAGAAGGAAAACTGCCGAATAAGAATGATGTGTTTACGTCATAAAAGAAACAATGCTTAGATTTTATTAGTAGGACGCCAGTCACGAGACTAACGCCTAAATTGTTCAATGAATACAGAGTAATATATGTAACCGGCAAACCCCAATTTTAGGCAAAACATGGTTTTTCCTAGGGTAAAACCCGAATTGTCTTTAATTTGAGGAGATACCTGAATTCCCTTTTAATTTATAGGAATTTCCTAAAATTTGCAGGCAACACTCGAATTGCCTAGGCCAAAGCCGTGTCACCTGACCCATTTTAGGCAATTTTTTTAGTAAACATAAACATGCTAACTGTAAGTTATTATAGCGCTAAACGAACGAAATGTTTTCATTCACTTCATACCTTTGGCATAGCTCGTTTGTCTATTTATAGCACTGTGTGGCATAAGTCGCACATTCTGGCACCGCTGCTCATGGCTCAGAGAAAGGGGCATAACTGTGAACTTAGCACAGTGCTATAAAATGCTGTACGATACTCGTGCCATGGGGACACTTTTCGACCCAGCTATTAGGACCCTCGCTGCATTCGGGCCCTAAACTACGCCGTGCGAAATAGTGTTACTTATGGCACTCATATCGTAAATTACTATTATATCGACACCTCATAAATTGTATAACGGTTATTGAGAATATTTCTGAAAATAGTGAAAATACTTGCGATTGGAAAGACAAATTTCGACGATTCTCCCTGTCACAAGGAGAAATCTCACTTGTCCCCAGTGAACTTGTTTCTGCTGTCACAGCAGAATTATTTTCCCCGAGCAAAGGATATTCTTTTTTTTCAGTGTGCACTTCTCACATTCAATTATTATATTGTTTATTGTTTTATTCATAGATCTGACTTTGATATATGTCACCAAAAGTTTCTGACGGAATCAGATGTGCTGACTTCAGAAGTTCTGTCTTTTAATAATGATTGTGAATCAGCAATCACATTCAGGAGGTCAGGGTCAATTTTAAATGCAGTTGTAAAACATCTTACAATACCAAAAATTGTTTATGTAAGAAAAATGGAGTGTTATGTAATTCAAAGTGCCATTGTAGCACCAGTTTTTGCAATAAATAAAATATTGTAATCACTTTTAGTTTTGAGCTTATAATCCTATAGCAGGAGCTAGTATTTAAATTAGTTTTTTTTCATGAAACAATAAATATAACATGAAAAATTATTCACTGATGTCTTATATTTCTGCTTTTCCAAAAATGCCTAAAATGGGTCAGGCAATACGGCTTTAGCCTAGGCGATTCGGATTATGCCTAAAAATTTTATGAAATTCCTATAAATTAAAAGGAATCTCCTAAAGATCTCCCAATAGCCAAATAGATGTTACTTTAATTCGCAATTCCCGATCAATACCATTATTATTTAAAATAACGGCTTCATGCTACCTCGACTAATTCGATTCGATGGGATAAGGCTAAGAAACAGATGACTGAATCAAGAGAGATGGAGCCGAATAACTATTGCCATAGTATTACAATGCGTAGCGATAAAGCAACGGTGACTTACAATTAGAGTTTCCTAATGGTTGAGTAGTTAGGCCAAGTCCAGATCTACACAGCGTGGGCGGACGAGTAAGGTCAGCCAGATCCTCCTCAAGAACAGCGGTTATCGGAACTCACACACTAAATAGCTAGAATTAGACCCTTGATCTGTGATCTTTTGATCCCACTCGGCTCAATCGTCTCCGATGTTGTTCTCTGCTCTCGCTTGCTCACACGAGTATTACAATTTTGCGCGCTACACACGCAATTACATTGCACTCGGTGATGCTACTCAACACTGAGCTATGCTTTATTTGATGTTAAACGAATCGTCTGGAGTTTTACTTGATTACACGATATTAATTAATTAATCGAATTTTCTACCCTGGTTATAAATAAATTCATGCATGCATATTCCTAGTGGGAGCATAATAGTGTTTTTACCAAGTTGCGAAATAGTGTGCTGTTGGTCACATGTTGACCCGCGAGTCACGCATGTGCCGTTCTACATATCCATATTTAGGCGAGTTCTTCTTGGAACTTAGGTCGATTGGTGATCTTAGCAATGTACACGAGTCATCTTCCTGTGATAAGGGAACATGCAAGCGCGCGTGCAACTATGTTTCTTCCTCATATTCGCCGAGTTTGCGTTATCTATCGCGGATCTCATCTAACGCGCGTGTATCATGCTTTCTTCCTATGCGCCTTGCATATATTGAGGCATTTCTTACACGAGCGGCGCGGGTTTCTAAGCTGCGCTTACAATGCGCGCGAGTAAGAGTTGATTTTATAATACGCCGAGGAGTACACGTGCCTCAATAATAAACGTGAGAGAGAGATGCAATGAGTTGAGCGCGGTGGATAAGTCACTTGAGGACGGGTGAAACTACCTTTTGTTTAAATAATCATAAGTAAAAATAAATAAATACAAATCAATGTGAACAAATGTGAATATAAAGTAAATAATTGTGAATATCAGAGTATGTATGGAATGAAATAAAATATTTATTGAACAAGCAAATCACGTAAATTACTATTGTTGAAAAATACAAGTTTGATTAATTAATTATCTTGAGCTGGACGGTGACTCTCGTGTTTGCTCGCTGATTACTCTCGTAAGAGGCTTGATCAGGCGTCGCAAACTGTGAAGCGAAATGAATGTGATGAATGGGAAAATAGTGTGTACTTTTTTACCTTAGTCGGCGCCGTGGCACACGGGTCTGCGGATGTGCTGGGTTGGTACGCGCTCTCGTACGTATTCCTGTATCCGATTACGGAAAGGAGTCACACACGATTCGGTCGGGTAGGATAATGAATTAATTTAGAACCATCTATCTAATCTTGGCATCCAGCGCGACTGATGTGGAACCTAGATTTCGATGGACATGTTCTATTTGGTAAGAGGCTAGTATTCAGCTGTATGTAGTGAAACCTGATTAGACTCTCTCGCACTTTTGTTTATCTCTGCAACTGCGCTAACGGTATTCAACTAAGGAAGTGAAACTTGAAACGGCTTGTTGTAGCAGATGGGATAGTAAGGAGCTCCCTAAGGATAACTTACATCAAGACGGAAGTCTGTGTTACGGGTAGCACAGCCAATCCCCCTGTAAAGCACTTCACGGTTTGATGCTCTTGCACACCCCGAAGAACTGAAAAGTATCTCTTGGCAGCGCAATTCCCGCACTTGCAAAAACTGCCAGAATTGATTATTACTTCGTCACGATTGTCGATAATACCAGGACAAGTATTGATCGTAAAGTCGCAATAACTGAGCTTTGAATAACACGGCACGAAGGAATCTCAACTGTGTGATTGAAATTTGACTAAGTATCGTGATAGTGAACTTTTAGGTAAAAGTGTGAATAATAAGTAATAAATCAATTAATGATGTAATAGTAGAATAATAATTAGTTAATGGGTCAGTGGGGCTTGTGACTCGCCTTTTATAGTCGCGCCCTGCGGTCACAAGCGGGGGTAGCTCTCTCACCACTCGCCTCCTTCTCTTGACTTTCTCACGGAGTGGGATGCGGCGAAAAGGACTTTTAATGCGCGCGTGTCAGACGCAGTGAGTGAGTAGGGGAAGCTCACTTCTCACTGCTCTCTCTCTGCACTCTCCTGACTAGCGCACGTCGCGTACGCATTACTAAGCCAAATTTGCTTCTGCACCGCTGCAATATACGCGAGTTTACATGCATGTGCGACCTGTTCTAGCACGTCGGCTCTTGCTAGCCGCGCACACTCACACACACATTCAAGCGATGGTTTGGCCTATACACGCCGTTATACGTGTACAATAAGTGCCCAAAGGGCGTTTTTGGGCACAAAGTAAGCAAAAAGCTGGGCATGAGTTGCATACCTTTTGACATACACTTGCTAACTATAATATATAATGAGCAAGATGTCGTACGCAAATTCAAAACTGATTAAAAGTTCGGCATCCTTATCCCTTGCTACTTGTTTATTGTCATATATGTATCAAAGACAGATTGCAAATAAAATACAGTTCAAGAAAACAATTTTTTTACTTTGATTGGACTAAAATTTTGTCAGAATACTTGCAAACGTAAATGCAATAAAACAATTTATAATTTCAAATGAATTTCAAAAATAAATAATATAAAAAAAATTGAAATCATGAAAAATATTTAATAAAATATTCTTAAAATACTTTACAAATATGAAATGAAAAAAAAATTATTTTTATTTATTTTTCAGGGAACGTCGAGACCATCACACTATCATGTTCTTTGGGATGATAATCATTTCGAAAGTGATGAGTTACAATGTCTTACTTATCAGTTATGCCACACGTACGTAAGATGTACAAGATCTGTCAGTATCCCTGCACCTGCATATTATGCTCACTTGGTAGCTTTCCGTGCAAGGTATCATTTGGTGGAAAAAGAACATGATAGGTATATACTTTATTTTATCTTATTTTAACAATTAAATCAATACAATAAAAGAGTGTAATCAACTTATGAATCAAACACGTTACATAAGCGTGTTGCATGCATATTGATAATGTGTACTTCATCGTCGTGCCTTTTTACTAATACCGGATACAATCCATCTTCTTAAGGGGACATTCCCATTGCAAATTGTAAAAAAATCACTTTTTAAATATTTTTTTTTTTGAAAACTATAATTTTTATTCATTCTGGAGCTTTTGGGTATTGTTCCTTACATATTAAACTACAAAAAAAAAAAATTTTTATGGGACTTAAGACCCATTTTGTAGACTGTAGACGAAATTGGCTGAAATCTGTGTTTCGGCTCTTGCCAGCGATTGAGAAAAAACTACTAGTCCGATCTTTACGTTCAATATCTCGTTTTAATCGTTACAACTTTCTCTCGAAGATAAACTTGTAAAAATTGATATTTTCAATTTTTACGATTTTGGCACGAGTTTTTCTTAAAAAATGCTCTTTTAGGTAGTTATGGGGGTGAATTCACTATTGATTGAATTGATTAAAATGAGATATTAGACGTAAAGATCGGACCAGTAGTTTTTTCTTAATCACTGACAAGAGATGAATAAAAGTAGTTTTGAGAAAAACGCGTCCGAAGTTTTGTTCTGTACACATCGAGCACGCTAGACGCTTCGTGTAATCGGGGATAACTTTTTTTTCTTTGTGAATTTCGTTCTTAAATTTAAGCAGGATATTTTTATGATGTTTTAACGTAAAAAATTGTATCGTTTTTTTTTTCATTTTCAATGGGAATGTCCCCTTAAGCTAAGTAATTTTCCTGGTGCTGCATCCTCCCTTTTGCTCTTAATTTTTTCTTAAGCAAGTAGGTAAAGAAGGAAACTACTTGTCAACTGGGTTTGAAGACGAGCATAAAAACTGCTAACATCTTAGGCTTCGAGAATTATCGAAAGAGGTGATGGAGTTCTTCTCTTTCCTCTATGAACCGAGGACAGTGGAAAATGACATCCTTAGCAACTTCCACTGATGAAGAAAAGGCAGACCCTAGGTCTCTATTATTGTTGTTGATTTGATGTAGGTATGACCTAAAGCAATAGTAATAGATCAGGAGTTATGCAAGATAATGATTCAATTACAGAGTGTCTTTGAGATGAATCAGTTAGACCACTGGTTTTTCATCGAGTGGGCCTATTGGGCCTGAAATTGTTCCATTCTTGTCAGAACTTAAATTGCATCGTGAGAAATGCTAGGAAAGTCTGTTGTGGCCTGATGTATATAACTCTGCTTCTTTGTAGCATTGCTCTATTAAGTAGCCCAATAAAGCAGGATCAAGGCCACAACGCAGACGTATAGCTTTCATCGACTGCTCCTCTTGCCTCCAACGTTGGACATGAAACCCAGCAAGATACTTGCGATTTTATTAGTCTCATCAATAATGATTCTGAGGTATCTATCTCTGAGGCAACTCTAGTTCATCTTGACCTCAAGCAAAAATCGAACTATAATCTCATACTCTATCGTTTTGTGAAAGAGCAGCTGTAATCTGTCTCTTTCTTCATTGATCACAGGCAGTGAAAAAACTCTTTTTCTATGTTATGTTTTGCAGTCTGCTATATCGTTTATGTTTATCGAAAGGCGTGTAAAATTCAGTAAAGCCTGGCTCACTAGATCCGAAGATTAACCGTCCATTATGCAAAAAAAAACATCATCTCGAGATAAACGCGTTCAAAGTTTTTCAACTGTCATTGAGGGCTGAGTAAGTGTTTGCGCTTAATCTCAATCTTGACTGAGTTGAAATCCGAACTCCTATATCAAATTTTGGAAGGTGGTTCTCAGAAGTATAAACTATCCGAAAATAAAAAAAAAACAAGAATAAAAAGATATTTCGAAAAACTGAACCGTTAATAATTTCTTGAGGACCCACCCACATAGATTTTTTTTCGGGTTGATAACAAGATCCAAGTCAGTTGTTCATTATGCAAGCTGGACCAAGTCCTCTGACAACAGAAATGTCAACTGTCGCACTAATGTCACATGCCTGCAATTGGAGTATTGAGCAGTGGGTGCTAGACATTACCTGGCTCAGTACCTTATCACTTATTTTCATAAACTTGTATAGGGCCACAAGCATATCCAAGTTCAAAAGCTCAGAAAAGTTCTCTACTTTTCACAGGAGACTGATTCACCATTTTGCCTTGTTCTCAGTGGGAGCACGCTAACGGGTCAAGCTAACGGTATGGGTCTGCTCAGCTAGGCTCAAACGGCCGCTACCCAATCGTTCTGCTCTTGCAAAATTCCTTATCGTCCAATGGGCCGATGAATAAGTGTTGGTGATGGCAGAACCAGGCTCCGATCGAAGGGAAGCTTAACAGGACCAAGGGTATTTCTCAACGAATTTTTTCAACCAGCTCGTATGGTGATATCTTCTGAAAATTACGCAGCACCAGGGAGTTTCTAGATAACTCTTGCGAACAATGGTATATGAAACCATTTGTGTCCACACACAAGAACGAGAAAAAGTTTTGATAAGTAAGAAATATGTCAATATTCTCTTCTGTTATTATTGGTCTGTTATTCTTTCCTCGAAAAACACACGAGTATACAGGCAGTTTAAACGACAGTTTGAACACACAAGCACGCAGACAGTTTAAATGTCCATCAGCTGAGTAAGCTCGCACATTATCAAAATGAAAACAAAGTAAAGCATTTAGCCAGTGACGACCAAAACAATAACACGCCGGAGCGCGTCTTAACAATGCTATTTTGGTAGAAATTGAGACTAGTTTTTTATATTTATGCTTGTTTAGTGGTTTAACTGAAGTACAGCTATACAACAATGGCTTCCTTGAGCATAACTGTACTCAAAGACAAAACGGGAGTGAGTGTTTAGCTTCAAATGACTTGCTGACACCATGCTTTCAGCATTTATGTGTCTTTGTTCAAGAAAAAGTAATGCTGCACTCGATTGACGATCACAATAGTCAATCAGAGTCATTTATCTTTCAGGCGCCCAAAGAGATAACTCTTGCGTGATCTCAACTATACAATTACAATTGTCACTCCTAAAGATAAGTTTATTTCTGGAGTAATAATTTTTTACAAATTGGGATTCTAAGTTACTCATGAAACGTTACAACAGAACCTTGATAATTTAATCTTAATATCGTACATGCTATTTTTTTAGTATGCATCATCTGTAAATATTAATATAAAAAATTAAAGAACTAAACTATAGTTACCCAATCACTGACTTCGACAAAGTATTACAATCCACTAGCGACCGCGTCGTGTCTTCGTCCACGTTCAATTCATACGAAAAATGTGAAGACGTATTTGCAAAATGATACTATAGAATTCAATATTTTTATCTTTATCTATTGGGATGTATATAAACAAATCCGGAACAGGCCACATCAAGTGCGTAGCAGGAAATGTCTGAGTCGAGTCCACATACTTGTAAAATGTAAATCAAATAAAATTTATTGCCAATTGAGATCAAACAAGACAAATATACACAAACTTCGCTTTATATATGGGCTAAGCCATAGTTAGCGTAATGGTCAAAAAAAATTTTTTTCTCAAATTATATAATTTTGAAGATTACATTGAAAAGTGAAAATCCTGAAAGTTTCAGCCCTCTAGGTCCAACCCTATTGGATTATCAGAGCTTCAAAGTTGAATTTTCTTTTTCTGCTGATATTCTGCTTGCAATTCTGATTTTCTGGCGTTGATATGAAAAAATTGTTGAATTGTGGTTTTTAATGTAAAATTTGATGTAGAATCCAAATTTGTACTTAAAAATCATATTAACAACTTGAAACCCCATAAAAATGATATTTTCAGGCATTAATCATGTGACCGTGCAAAAATAAACATGTTCGTATCCAGCGATATGGTCAATACTGTAATATGTTCATCAATACATCAAATTACAACTTCTGATAAATTTCGGTTATCGGCAGACAAACAGAATTCATTATTGAGCTTAATATGAGTCAAAAATCAAGGAAAATTAGAGAAAATCCATGTTTCTTGACTCATATTAAGCTCAATAATGAATTCTGTATGTCTGCCGATAACCAAAATTTATCAGAAGTTGTATTTTGATGTATCGATGAATATTACAATATCAGCCCAATCGAAGGAGACAAGTTGTTTATATGATTTTTAAGTACAAATTTGAATTCAACATCAAATTTTACATTAAAAACCAAGATTCAACAATTTTTTAATATCAACCCCAGAAAATCAGGATTGCAAGCGGAATATCAGCAGAAAAATAAACTTTCAGGATTTTCACTTTCCAATGTACTCTTCAGAAGTACATAATTTTTTTGACCATCCCGCCAACTATGGCTTAGCCCATATATAGATAGATAAATGCGGTGAAAATGAAGGTTAAATTGAAAAAATTGTCAAATTAAGATGTAGTATGACCATTTTAGTGGTAAATTGTTAGAAAAACCTGAAAACTGATGTTTCTAATTTATTTTATTTTAAAATTGACGAATTGTAGTTATGCTCTAATATAAATCAACTTAAAACTTTAAGAAAGCGATTGAAAAAAGACAACAAACACAAGCGAAGCATTTTTCCATTCACTTTTTACGAAAATTGTATGTTTTGAGTCTTGCTCAGGATTACAACTTGATTTATCTTACGTTACAAATAAAATTTATTAAATTTTGAATAACACAAACAACGAAAGTTTTAAGTTTTGCCAATAATTTTCTATTAGTTGTATCCCGAAACGTTTTAGTTTGACGATTGTTGTTTGTTTATTTTCGTTCTAGATATAAAAAAAGCTATAAATAAACACCAATGAGTTATCAATATGATTGTTCAAGCTATCGAAAAGTTTATTTGTTCTCAAGTGTTAACGTACATCTTCTTGTACGCTAATAAGTTACATAAAAAATTAATGATTTAAAAATAGAATTTTCCTGTATATTAAGGCAGGTGAGTGATAGAAATTATTTGTTTCAGCGGAGAAGGATCTCACCAATCTGGCTGTAGTGAAGATCGTACTCCTGGGGCAATGGCAAGAGCAATAACTGTACACGCTGATACAAAGAGAGTTATGTATTTTGCCTAATTTTAAGATATATTGATCTTCATAGAAAACGTTTTTGTATTAATAAAACTTGTAATTATTTCCAAAATAATTTTTTATGTTTATCTTAAAAAATATTGTAAAAGTGATTTAAGTTAATTTTGAAATCATAAGTGTCATAATTTAAATAAATAACCTCATCAGAAGTAATTTTTGATTGTCATTTTTTTGAAATTCTGTTTCACATATAAGAAAAAACGATAAAAATAATTACATGATCAAACGAACTTACCGCGTGAAGTTTGATTGCAATAATATGAAGTCCTTGCTCGAATACATGACTTATTACAAGAATCAAACACAATTGTTGGACAATCCAATGGACTTCCAGAGTCACTTTTTATTTAAAAAAATTGTTAATATGAAGTTAAAACATTAAGAATTATTAGCACTGTTTCGGAGACACATGTCTGTCTCTCCAAGCCACAAACAATACAATACAACAATTCTACTCAAGAGTCAATCAATCAGTTCAGATATTGACCCACATATGCTCACGACGAAAACAATGTATACAAAATAACACATCCGCTTTTCGATTCATCGTATTACTGTAAAAATTTATTTACAACAACTCGGACAGCACACGTTTCTGGTAGTCATTTTCCTGGTCCAACATCTAATATTATCCCAGTGAATTTTTATGTCCAACCGAGACCATTGACACGCCTTTCTTATATTTCTTAAGTTCGTTAACTCTAGCACTTAATGTCTGATTAGTCTCACCCACGTATACCGCTGGACAAGTTAAGCAGTCAATTTTATAAACCATTCCCGAGCTCGTCCACTTCGACTACAAGTCTTTGCCTAGTCTTATTAAGGAAGTCATTGATTTATCTACTATAGCCATCGAGCGCAATCCATACTTGTTTAAAACACTTGTAAACAAGTCATAAAAGTTACGAATAAACTGTAGACATATTTTCCCAAACCTAAGCGTGTGAGAAGACAGCGGATTGTCTATTGTATCGTTGCACATTATTTTCTTATTTTCACCCCCGATGGAAAAAAATTGTTCAAGAAAGAGTAAAAGTAGTAATTAAAACTATTATATTAAATTGTAAAATGTAATAATAGGTAAAAGAATGTAAAATTACTAACAATTTTGGATAGCTAGTGATTAAAAATGCAGCATAAAATTACAATTTTATTAATGAGCTTAAATTCATAGGGTTTTCATCTCTTTAATGATCGGTAAACAAATGTCATAAACTGCAATAAAAAGTAAAAAAGTGTAAAAAAACGTATCACATGTCCGAAATTGTTAGTAATCTTACATTTTTTACACTGTTTTACTTTTTATTGCAGTTCACAAAATTTTTACAAAATTTTTATGAAACCTCCGCTGGGGACCAAACTTGATTTTTCTTAGTCTTTTGTTCATAAATCTATCTATGAAGTCCATCGGATAAGAATTCTCCAATAGCATATCTTTAATTATAGTCAAGTTTTTCCCATGGAAACGGTTCTAAGCAACTAAAACCGCTCAACACTAAATCACAAGGAATATTCGTAAATACAGACGTCACATCCAACGACAGTAACACATAATCTGGCGGCACGTGGATGTCATATAATAATTTCTTCAGCTCAAAGCTGTTATCCATGCGAGATGCTGGCTGACTTTGATCAAACGGAAATTTAAATGATTAATTTTTAATAATGTATACTAAATTAATGAAGTGATGAGAAAAAATGCAAAGATAACGAAGTAAGTATGGATAGAGTGCATGCCTATCCGTTCGTTGCTGTTATTATTGCCGCAGTAGCAGCCTCCTAACGCTATATTGCAGAACTACCAACTTTCCAACGCGATATTCTCGTACTGATTGTCACCCGATTAATCCACACTTAGACGTCGAAAAAAAGACTCATATATTATATATACTATTTTCTTCGTGTAATGTGTACAGCTTCGTGAACATACGATGAAACTAGGGAGCTTGCATACAAGAATTAATATAATTTCTACAACAAACCACAACAAGTTTTTCGCGAAATGCGTTTGGGGCTACGAGGGCTGTTCGCGCGGCGACATGCTGGCGCTCGGACCCAAAATGTAAACAATAGAAGTATAAAAAAAATATGTCTTACTATAGTCACAGTGTACGTCACAGTATCATTGGCAGCTTTACCAGCGCATCTGAAAAGAATCGTCCGAAGAACCTGTGTGCTTAAATTTTTGTGATTCTTTTGTAATAAATATTAATATTATTGTAAAATAGATCAAGCCAATCTTATTGAACAATTAAGATTGGGGAGAAACAAGAAAAAGAACAACTTTTAATCTGGAGAGAGGGAAAATCTCAGTCACGCAAGATCGTCAGAAAGAAACGAGGTTATTAATTTTAATTATAAATATTCAAAGCAAGCTACTTACATTACTCACTTTAAATTAGTTCAGCACTTTTTACTAATTAATTTTTACTGATGTCACGGTTTATTTTTTTTTGTTTTTTCACAGTGAAACGATTTGTGATCTATTTCAAACGCTCCATATTACTCGGTCTTCAACTGATCTTTCAACTTTTGGCACAACCGGAATTCAGAAAAAAACATATGTCGATCCACCCCGCGCTTCTCCAGCCATTGAAATGAAATTAAGAAAGAAAATTACATCTCTCTCATCAAAGTTACTGAAAATCAAAAAAGAAGTTACGCTCAAAACAAAGTTGCTGAACGGTAATGATCTAAAAATAAACTCTCTGAGAAAATCATATTTTGAATTAGAATCAAAATTTAAAAAATTTAACGAGTCACTCAAACAAATGAGTACAAATTATAATAATTTAAACAATCGCGATAAATTTATCGTTTCAAAATTTATGACGAATGATTTTAAAAGTTCTCTAAAATTTCCGATTAGTCATATCAGACGTCAAGTATCTTTTAATAACCAACATTTTAGAGAAACATTTTCGTTATCTTCTCATCCCTGCTGAATGAAATCAGGTGATTCATCAGGTGATAAATCAGCCTATGAATCAGCTGATTTATCAGATGATTTGTCAGTTCAAAATGTCAGCTGATTTATCAGATGATTTGTCAGTTCAAAATGTCAGCTGATTTATCAGATGATTTATCAGTTCAAAATGTCCCACCCAAGAAAAACAAGTCGAAATTAATGCAACATCCGATTGCATGTAAGGGTCGCAAATAAAAGATAGAGAGCTGAGATTGGACCTGTGAATAGATAGAAAAAAGTCGTTTTTAACACAGCTATGTATGGTTATTATGATTGCGCAACAATATTTTATTCCTGTAATATGCAAGAGGTACTTTGAGATCTCATAGAAAATGTCAACTCACTCTACGAGAACTGCATCAACGGCACCAACAGATACAACTTTTTACGTGGCTGATTTATTTCTGTTACCCTCCTCACCTCATCAGCATCTAGAACACATAACACAAATATTAATTTTAACAAGGAGCACTAATAATTTGTTGTTCGCAACACCAGCACTGAATAATTTGTTGTTAAATTTGAAGTACGAGGCCGTAACTTTTCTGTTACACGTCAAGAATTACGGTTATTATAGTTTGTTTATGATTACGTTGTTTTTTTCATCTAGCATCATAACTGTGAATTTTAAACGGAAGAAAAAGCCAATCAACGCACGCAGCATAAGAAATATACTCATTGAACTATAATTATTATTAATCAATCTAGCTGAAACTCGATGGTTTATATTTTGGAAAAAAATCAGCTGACAAATCAGCTGACGTTTGGAACTGACAAATCATCTGATAAATCACCTGATTTCTTTCAGCAGGGATGCCAAAACTCTTAAATTGACAAATCGGCAAATAATCAAGCGTCGTATAATAGCTTTTTTCAATAACGATGAAAACTCTACACCCGGTCCAGGCATTCGAGATTATCTTACTGAAAATAAGCGAAGATATCGAAAACGCTACTTAAAGACCACAATTGGTGAGTTATACGAAAAATTTCTGAGAGAATCAGGCATTAAAGTTTCTAAATCATATTTTTATAAATTAAGACCATTTTATGTTGTTGAAACAAAATTTTCGGCCAGAAACACTTTTCAATGTAGAACACATATTAACTTCTATTTAATTTTTAGAAAGTTGTATCGAAACAACATCGTAAAACAAAAAGAGTGTCACTGTTTTTTAAAAATCTGGTTTGTGACGTAAAAAATAAAAATTGTATGGATCGAAATTGTTCTCAATGTTGCGACCGAAATTTATTTAGAAACTTTTTGCCCGATGTCAGAACTTTTTATCATTCGTAGGTACATGAAAGAGTAAGTCAATCGGGATCAAAAAATCAACGTTATTTCAAATGTGAAAGTTATTTCAAAAAAAAAATTGTGGTTCACAAATGAAATTATTTGATTCATTCAAAATTATCCTTCCCACTTCTACAAAACACTCTTTTATAACGTCTCATCAATTTAGAGCTTTGCAAAATATTAACAAAAATTTATGCTCCGATGAAATTTTATTGGTTGTTGATTTTCCACAAAATTATTTATGCAAATACGCCAATGAAATTCAAGGATTTGACTTTCGAGGAACAAGAAAGTAAGTGTCATTGTAAACTGGTGGTTTTTATTTCAAAGATGGAAACGATGAGCTTCGCTTTGAATCCTTTGTAACTTTTTTCTGACTGCCTTAGCCATTCCGCAGCAGCCATTTGGGTAACTCTAAAGCCTGTTTTGTTAAGAATCCAGCAGAATTACCCTCATATAAAATCAATTTATTTTCAAAGTGACGGACCATCTGCTTGATACAAAAATAAGTCAAATTTTTTCTTGTTTAATTATTTTTGTAATTTTGATAATTGGAAAAATTCTGCCTGGAATTACACGGCTGCTGGGCACGGCAAAAGTGCTGTAGATGGTATAGGTGGGTCGATAAAAGAAACTTGCAATCGGGCATTGTCACATGGCACGGACATTTTGAGTGCCTCGCACATGCATCGAGTAGTAAAAAGTAAAAACACCAAAACTTTGAGTTATGTGATTTCAGAAAATGAAATTGAAGCAATCAATAATTTAATCCCAACAAATATAAAACCTGCCCGTGATACCATAAATGTCTATCAAATCGT